ACATCTGGTGAAAATTTCATGTCATTAGCACCTCTAGTAATATATTTACTGAGAAAAATGGTGACGTGTTCAATACTTATTTTACCCGCTGTATGTACGCTGTGTGTCGTCCGAATTACAAAATGGAACCCTTCATTACCCTACAGCGTTATTTAATGCTAAACAAGTCAAACGTTTGAGCTCATTATCTTTAAGCTACAGTTGAGTTCAGATGTTTTCATCCACTCATCCAGGGTGTGAATGTTACTCCTTTCAGGCTTTTAAAGATTTATTTGCATCCTTCTTTCTCTGCAGTGTCTACACAACGTACAACTCCAGTRGTTTTTAAAACACAAGAACTGGGTGCACAAGTTGGAATTTAATTGTCGCTTTACTSCAATCCACATGGTTAAAAATGATACATACACATCCACTAAAATTTGGGTAAACATCCTCAGAGTTTCTCTTTGGTCAAACATTATTTATAGGCTTCCTGATTTTTAAAATCAGTTCTGGTTGGATTTTACTTCAAATCGCACATCTTGACTTTTTTTTTTTTATTGCTGTTCCTCGAAACAGCATTTTTATTATTAACGTTTTATTACATCCTGTGAGGTAAAATATTCTGAGTGGATCAGGGCTCGGGGGAGGAACTCTTGCTGTAAAGTGACGTTTTTAACATAAATCAGAGCAACCAACTGAATCAAACCCAAGTTTCCTTTAGTCGTAAAACAAACCAATCTAATAGCATAAAATAAATTTTTTACACTTGTCTTTCATATTACACGTTAGTCGTACAAGAAGCTTTCTACGTTTGAGTTACTCCTCATTTTAATGTTGATTAAAGGAAGGTTAAATGAGTTAAAGCTGCTGGTCTGGTTAACTGTTTTGTAGATTAATGTATAAAGTTTCTATTTTTATAAGCTCAAATGAGAGAACTGTAAAGATAAATCATAGATGTAGAGTGATAATATCTGGAGTTATTTACAAATCTAGATTTTAATGGTGCAGAAACTGTAAGCACTGGTGTTTTATCTACTTTACTGAAAAAGACTTTAGTTTACTCTGGAGATGGGTGGGTGGGGGCTCGATGCAGATGGAAAAAAATGACAACTTTTTGTTTTTAATGGAGAAAAAGGTTTAAATGAGCAAAATTTAGAACAAAGTGTTTCAGTGTTGGCATGTCTTTTTTACATTTTACAGAATCGTTTCTAATATGTAAAAAGAAGCTGCAGTCAACAGTTTCAGCTCAAACAGGGCCAGTTTTATTAGCCGCTTCGGTGGTTTGATTGATCCTTTGCTCAAAAACTAAACATACAAGCAAAAAAAGGTTATTTACCTTTATGTGTCTCGCTCTTTTTTTTTTTTTTTCAAACCTGGACCAAAAAGCGTCGGAGCTGATTTCTGCTCCGCCGTCCCATCATCAAAACCCAGACTCCTCTGCGAGCTTATCTGGCCAACATGACTCAGAAACAACATTGCACCTTTTCCCCACGCAGGGGTAGCGCCAACTACATCAGCACGTACTACAGGACCCGCTGCAGCACGCGTGGGCCGAGCAGCGAGTCCTCTCTCAACATTTAGTGTCCCGTTTTATTCTGGCTGTGATTAAAGTCGGAGGAGATGGGAGGTTTAACAGTTCTGCACTTTGACAAACATTTGCTTGAAAAACAGATGCTGGGTGGAGGGGTGGGGGGGGGGTCATCCTGATGTAAATTTTGCTTCTCTGTGATGTCATCAACTCATCTACAACCCCTGGCAAAAAGTATGGAATCACCAGTCTTGGATGAGCACTCATTCAGACATTTCATTCTGTAAAACAAACTCAGATCAAAAWCATGAWAMAATAATAAGKTCATTCCAAAGTGCAACTTGTTGGTTTTCAAGAACACTCAAAGAAATGAAGAGAAAAMATTGTGGAAGTCAGTGAATGTTACTTTTATTGACCAAGCACAGGGAAAAAATTTGGAATCACTCAATTCTGAGGAAAAAAGTATGAAATCATGAGAAACAGATAAACAAAAGACCATTCAAAATACATCACTAGTGTTTAGTTGCTTCACCTTTGGCTTTTATAACAGCTTGCAGTCTCTGAGGCATCATGGACTTGATGAGTGACAAACAGTATTCTTCATCAARYTGGTGCCAACTCTCTTTGATAGCAGTTACCAGATCARCTTTGCAGGTCGGAGCCTTCTTGTGGACCATTGTTTCAATTTCCACCACAGGTTTTCAATTAGGTTGAGATCTGGACTATTTGCAGGCCATGACATCGACTGAATGTGTCTTTCTCCAAGGAATGCCTTCACTGTTTTTGCCCTATGGCACGATGCATTGTCATCTTGGAAAATTATTTCATCACCTTCAAACATCTGTTCAATTGAAGGGATGAGAAAACTGTCCAAAATGTCAATGTAAACTTGTGCATTGATAGAATTAACCACAGCCATCTCCCCAGTGCCTTTGCCTGACATGCAGCCTCACATCATCAAGGACTGTGGACATTTGGTTGTTTTCTTCAGGCAGTCCTCTTCATAAATCTCACTGGAACGGCACCAAACAAAAGTTCCAGCATCATCACCTTGTCCAATGCAGATTCTTGACTCATCACTGAAGATAACTTTCATCCAGTCATCCACAGTCCATGATTGCCTCTCCTTAGCCCATTGCAGTCTTGTTCTTTTTTCTTTAGGTGTCAATGATGGTTTTCTTTTAGCTTTTCTGTATTGAAATCACATTTCCTTTAGGTGATTTCTTACAGTTCAGTCACATACATTGGCTCCAGCTTCCTCCCATTTATGCTTCATCTGTTTGGTTGTACCTTTTCAGTTTTCAAAACAAATGGCCTTAAGTTGTTTGTCTTGATGCTTTGATGTCTTTCTTGGTCCACCAGTACGCTTGGCTTTAACAACCAGTCCTTGCTGTTTGTATTTGGTCCATATCTTGGATACAGCTGACTGTGAACAGCTCACATCTTTAGCAGCCATGCGTGAAGAGTTACCTTCTTCAAGAAGTTTCACAATCCTCTCTTGTTTCAAGAGACATTTCTCTTGTTGGAGCCATGGTTCTTGCCACATCACTTTGTCCAGCAGCCCTCCAAGGTGTCATGACTGCAGGTGTTTTTAACTGCAGACTAACGAGCAGATCTAATCTGAGGCAGGTGTCCATTTAGGGAAAGGAAATTGACTGGATGTGTTCTTATTTTCTACCTCCAATTTGAGTGATTCCATACCTTTTTCCTCAGAATTGAGTGATTCCATATTTTTTCTCTGTGCTTGTTCAATAAAAGTAACATTCACTGACTTCCACAATGTTTTCTCTTCATTTCTTTGAGTGTTCCTGAAAGACTGGTGATTCCATACTTTTCCAGGGGTTGTATAAAGCTGTGTGCTGGTGTTGTATTTATAAACTGCTGTTCAGGTTGTAAAAAAATTACTTTTTTTCTTCTATGCACCGTTTTGTAGTGGACAGCTTGTGTTGTCATCCAAAAAAAGAAAACAAATTTATTTTCATATTTATCATCAGAAAAAAACTGAATTTTAGTTCTTATTGCGCAGCTTTCGTCAGGCTTACGAGGTGACCGTCGCTGCAAAGAAGTGTAAAGTTTTTTGTTTGTTTTTTGTCCCGGTCCAAAGCATGTTGGTGGAGTTAACGTGTGCAGCTGGTAGCATCTCCTCTTTTGTGATAATTAGGGTTAAAGTATAAAATACACAGCTGTAATCTTATGTATTAGTTCTTTTATAAATGTTTGTTGTTGGAAAGTTGCAGATGCGTGCTAACCAGACCCTAAATAAAGAATATGTTTTTGAACTAGACTGGTGCTTGTGTTTGTTGCTGGAAACCAACAGCTCTGTGCAGAGAAATGATGATTTATCCCCCATAATATTTTAGTTATGAGAAAATAGACATTTATTGCAGTAGCACAATAGTAAAAAGCTTTAATATAAATGAGTCAAACCAGGAGTAGATTTATAACTTCATATACTTTATTTTCTTTGGAAAGGGGGTAATATCAAGCTTCATATTACAGTTTTTTTGTCTTCCTTATTTAAACTCACCAAACAGCATACATACAAAACTATAGAGCTTCAAAATGCAGCATCATCATTTCTCATTTAATGGCATTTTGTCTTAAAGAGCCCTGCAGTGGCCAAGCTCGACAGATAAGGCAACAAGGTTACAGGAGGGGAAAAAATTAGAAAAAAGGACTCTGCAGCATCCAAGCTTTTCTCCACTGGTACCGTTATTGGCCTCATGAAATCAAACTCATTTAAAACAAAAAAAAAACGTTTTTGACCTGGTATAAATCTAACCTCACGTCACTACCAAGACTTTTGTGTGATCTTAGCTCAGTGAGAAAGAGAGAAGAAAAAAATATTTTAAAATAAAAATCCCTCCCCCAAAATTCACAAACAACAGCTCACCTAATGTGGACAAGTGCAACCTCAGCTGTTTCTGCATCTTTCTGCTCAGGTCGGTGAGACTGAGGGAGAAACTGTCCTTACATTCACTCTGCGCCGCCCTAACGTCTCCTGCAGACAGAACAACACTGCAGCAGACGGAGGAACAGAAAAGGCAAAAATACTGACTACTGTTCAGGCTGGGGGGGCTCACCCTGCTACAAACCCAAAGACATAAATACACAACTCCACCGGAACAAGACAACAACCAGACACCATACCTATTAAAGGAGTCAAGCCGCCAGCCCCACATCCCTGAAACATCGCTGTGTTTTTARAAATACTGCAGTAACTAATAAGATTCCCCCCGTACAGTAAATATAACGCTCTGTTTSTGGTTCGGGGAGGAACAGATAAGGCATGCTTTCTATTCAACTGCATTCATTCTGACAAGCCACAGGGAATGTGTGTGTTTTCAGGCTGGTAAATAAATAGAAGAGCGAGGAAACGGTGGGAGGCTAAATCAAGTGAGGCGACTGGAAACCTGCAGTCACCTGCTACACTTTAACAGTTTTGGTTTCTAACTCACTGGCAAACCTCACCTCCTGTGCTGTAGAAACACACCTACCTTTTTATTTTAAGGCCTTTTTAATCGCAACATAGAAAACGCCTCACGCTGCTCTGYGAAGGGGTCTTGTCTGCGTTTTGGCTCTGCGGCATCTGTCAGCCCACTCTGCTGCTCTCTGATTGTCTCGAGCTTCTTCTGGAGGATGTGTTTTATGAAGACAAAATGTGGCAGCGTGATTGTGTGTGTGTGTCACACAACCCGCATCTGGCAGCACCCAGGATCTGTTGGTAAACAACTGAACCGGTGAGGCAGAGCGGATAACGGCACATCTGCTGTGAATGATTGTGAGCAGAGCTGCAGCTAATGAGGAGTAGAGAAGTGTTTGTATTTTTTTTCCCACATAAAACAAACGCAGTGTAGATCCTTTGGTTCTGAACATACAGGTCTTTGTTGATGTGAGGGCTTCACTGTTCAGCTCAGGGCTGCAGAGATGAGCCGCGGTGAAAAACGAGACCCGGTCAGCGTCTCCTTATAGGACGGTGCTCTCCGTGTCCAGGTCACAGTCTTTGGGATGAGGCAGAAAGGGTGAGGCGGTCGCTGGCTGCTGGTCGACAGCGAGCTCAGGGACTAAAGCTCGACTGAGTCCCTTGAAGGACAGCGTCGGGTCTAGACGGCAAAACAAAAAACAAACTTTAAAGTTAAGTTGCTTCATCACAGCAAAATGCTCTGATTCTCTAAATAAATGCAGATTTAATTAGCATAAACTGAGTTTGTGTCGGCAATAAATTTGAAATGTTTTCCATGCTTACAGGCACTCAAACTAACCACTCCCCTCAGATCTTTTTTTTTTAAGATCAATGGATGTAATCACTAGCATGTGTGTCCTCTTCCTGCTGCCTGGCAACATTTAAAGCTGCTGAGGAAGACGTTCCTCAGGGAGGAGCTGCGCYGAGGTTCGAACAGCAGGTGGCGCTGCTCGCTCAGAAACCGTGAGGAGCGACGAGCGGTGAGAACAGGAAGGACAAGAGGTCGGTGTGACGTACGGTGACACGGGTTACCGTGGAGCTCTGATGGTGTGTTAGTGATGAGGCAGAACGTAAACATGCACATCATGCCTGCTTCTTTAAGAGACGCAGGATTCAAAACCCCAAGTATGAGAACAAACGTGCCACAGTTTCTCACAGTTTAGAAAAAAAGAGCAACAACCCCCAGTTGAAGRATTGAAAGACAAAAAAACATGAGATAAAAGAAAAGCCCACTCTCTTTCTGTTCGGGGGGTCTGAAGTATCAGGACGTGATAAAAAAAGTGATTGACCTAAAAACACAACAGATTTCAATATGTTGTCAAATTATTCAAAAATGAAGCCAWTTTTTTCCAAATTGAAGAACCTCCTTTAAAAGGAGACCAATTATGGGTCATAGATATTTTTATGGTATGTCTGTGGGCTATCCAGACCATGTTCATTCAATTTAATGCACAAAATAATTCTCAGATAATAAAATTTCCCRTTTTCTAGTTCTGCCTGCTCTGACTTCCGTTCAGAAGAGCTGTTTATGTTAATGAGCTCTGTTGGTAACGCCCTCCAAAAATCTGTTGACATTAACTCCGCCCTCCAAAGCCAGCGTTTACGTTAGCATGGCTAATAATAGCAGAAGCTCCGTTSTACAACTATATGAGACCCAGAGGCAGAGTCGGTCGCAGCTTCTTTTTTTTCTCCTCCTCCTCTGCTCTGTGCTCACTCTGCATGCTGTTACCAGAGCAGGGAGCAGCAGCGGTCAAAATACCTCAGAAACTCGAACAAATAGTCTTTAACAAGGCTTTAATAAGCCAAACAATAGAGGTACATGAGAAAATGTGTTCATAATGAACTAAAATAAATAATTAAATTGTGTCCATGCCAGTCTTGAACCCTAGCTGCCCACTCTGTGGTCCAACACTCTACCCATTGTCCTATTAGAGACTTGTTGTGAAATGAGCTGCACATTACACAACAACAACCGTGACGGCTTTTTATACTGAGGAGGTGGAGTCTCACCCGGGGGTTGCTAGTTGAGGGGCTGAACGCAGGTTCCTGTGGGTTGTCGTCCAGCTTGTGACATCACAAAATGATGGAAGTATAAAACTTGTCGTTAATATACATTAAAAATACATTTACTTACAGTAAATAAGCCCCTGGGTGCATTTTTTTGGTCCTAGGACTGATTTTTAAGAAGTACATACCCAAAATTAAGTAAAAAAAAAAACTTTAAAAAGTGAATTTTGCATAGTAGGTCCCCTTTAAAATCAATAACTATCAAATGTGGTTTTCTGTATGATTTGTGGAGGAACTGTGCCCCATTCTTCTTTATATTCACGGTATTTTAATCAGACTGATGTCTAGACTTTGATTAGATCGTAGCAACACTTCGATCCTCTTCTGTTGAAGATCAGCTGCTGTGTTTGGGAGCGTTCTTCTATTTATTATGATGTTTGGTCCAGTCTTCAGTTATCACACAGATGGACTCACATTTGACTCTGGAAGACGTCTGCAGAAGAATTCATGGTCAACTTAATGACTGCAGGGAGTCCAGGTCCTGTTCCCTAATCATCAGCCCTCCACCACCATGCTGACAAGTGGTACAAGTGGAATTATGGGTAAACGTCTCTTTTGTTCTCATCTGTCCAAAGAAAATTGTTCCAGAAGTCTGGTGGTTCACTCAGATGCAACGTTTCCAACTTTAATCATCATGTCAGGTTCTCTTTGAGAAAAGAGGATTCCTCCAGAAATCACTGCAAACAAGCTGTATTGTCCCTGAGTGTTGTATAAAGTACCTCAAAGTGATACTTGAGTAAAAGTACAAGTATAATATCATAAAATGACTTTAGTAAAAAATTTAAGTCTCCTCTAAGTGTATTACTTGAGTAAAAGTTTTAAAGGATCAGATTTTGTTTGTATTTAAGTATCAAAAGTACATTTCTGATATATAATATACTTAAGTATTAAAAGTAAAAGTATTGAGTAAAAATGAGCGATTACACTTTCAAAAACACATTCATTGGGAGGCGAACTCTCCAAAAAAAATTTTTTTTCTAAAAACATGCAGCTGTGATGGATTGTGTAAAGATTTACTAAAGTATCAGAATGGTATATATTTATACTTCTCATCCAATTACAATTAAATTCACTCTATCCTGGAGGCACAATTTATATGCATCATATTTTTAACACCAACAAGTAGAAACAAAATAGGAGAAACGACTTTCTACTTCTTACCTTTTCAAAAATGTTAGGAGTAGAAGTAAAAAGTAGGCTGAAAAATAATTACTCAAGTAAAATACAGATAACAAAAATTTCTACTACAGTAACAAAGTATTTATACTTAGTTACTTTACAACCCTGCCTTTAACCTGCTAACTGAGGCCTGCAGTTTGAGATGGACCTCTTATTTTGTTGTTGTTTCTCTGAGCATTGCACAGTCTGACCTTGGGGGTATATTTGCGAAGACATTCACTCCTAGATTGATCAACAGCTGTCTTAAATGTTTCTCCGAAGGTCATTGCTGATGATATTGTTTTAACACACACCTGTTTGCTCTGGAGCAACAAACCTCCAGAACTCCTGCTTTTATAGAGATGTTCTTAATGATGATCCATTAATCCATATATTTGATCACCTGGCTGCTACTTTCCTGTTTAAACTTTTTATAAACTTAATTTTTGCTGGGGTTTTTTTCCCATTTTGTCTTTGTACTAATAAATACTGACATGATGGAATCTGTTGTGTGTTTTTAGTCACTTGAGATTAAATTGGAATAATTTTAGCACCTGGTAAAGACCAGATCATGTTTAGTATGTCCTAATAAAACCAACCCTATGGCTTAGAGACAGTAGACTTTCTTTAACTCATGACTGTGAATAAATCCACTTCAGATCMTGAAACAGTTTCAACTTGTTTCAGAGTCACAGCTAATATTACAGCTCAGTGACTGTCAGTGAAGCTGGATGATTGGTGGGAAATATAAGCTCTGCTTTTTGTCTGCTTCAACCCATCACTTTTGATAGTTAATACTCAGAGTTTCACCTGAAAGRACGAACCCACTCATGTAAAGCACGAAACATAAAATGTAACATTGAACATTTACACCTGTGGAATATTAACCATCAGAAGCGGGGCGTTGCTGAAAGTGTGAAACCGTTTTAGAGACAGGTGACGTCTGACAGGCAGCAGGTGAAACAACACGGCTGTGACGATGAACAGGATGTGACACAAACAAAAAGTGCAGGCGCCACCAGTGCAAGTGTGAGTTTTCTACAAACCTCTCACAAGTGCTTCTCTAACCTGTGGAGGCATCACAAGGCAGGACTGTTAGAAACATGTTAGTGTTCRGCTGCTGAGAACCTGTGAGCGTCAGGCGTGCACGCTGGGAGGACGCCGCACTCACCCATCGTTTTGTACGCAGAGGAGCAGATTCCGTTGGTCTCGCTGCTCGCTGGGTTGGGCTGGGGGGGCGGGGGGATGCTGGGTCTGTTCCGAGGCTTGGGGACCGGCCGCGGTCGAGGCAGCGAGCCCGACTGATAGGGAGACGGGGACGGAGGAGCTGCRACCTCCTGGCCGGCGGTGGAGGGTGGAGGGGGGGTGTCCGGCGGGGTCGGGGTACCCGGAGGCGAGGGCTCCGAGCTCTGCTGGTCTGCGACAGCCTGGCTCAGGGATGCGGGCTGCGCCGGGGGGCTGGTCTGTGACGGAGGCTCCGGAGGCGGGTGGCTCGGAGCCTGGATGGGGGGCTGGTTGTTGGAGTGGCGCCTCGGGGTGGCGCACGGCTGTGGGGTGGGAGAGGAGGGGGAGGTGGGGGAGTGGCTCGGCGGGGGTCTGGAGATGGGGCTGAGAGACTGGAACGAGCCCGAGGAGGAGGCGTGGTTTGTTGAGTTACTGGGCTGGCTGGGAGGGGGGTTTGATGGTTTGGGAGGTGCGGGAGCTTGTTTCTTGGTACCTGAAAGTCAACAGAAAATCTCAGAATTATTGATGAAATACAGTCAACAAAACAAATTGTGAAAAGAAATCATAGGGTTTGCTTATTTTACAAAAACACGTAACATAGACAGATTTGTTGGTACCCTGACAGAAACTATTAATCCTTACATCATAGTCATGTTTCAACCTGTTTAATTAGCATCACAGGTGGCGTCACGCTTTGCATTAATTAGCCGACAGTCGAATGAGCTCAGAATTTTTTTTTTAGATTTTTAGATATCCTCCCAGGATGTGGACGCAAGAAGAAATGCAACCCTGGCTTCATCAAACAAGCCAAGAGTCAAGGAAAACAAGTTCAAGATGTGTTACTTCATGACCATCGTTCACATTTTGAATCATGATGAGCTCAGTGGACCCAGAAAGCTCCATGACCCGCAGAAAAACACAAAAAAGACAGACGAGAACAAGCCCCACACTTTATGAGACTGACTAGACAAAATTAGAGCTTTTTGTTCCATCAGCTGTTGTTTATTATCATCATGATACCAACAAATGTGTTTGTATTAGTAATGTGTATATTTATCTTCTGAATCGATTAGACTGAAGGGGAAAGAATGCAGAGATTTACCTCGACGCATCATATGTGGACTGGGTCCCATAGATCCGGTCCCAGAGGCTGCTGCAGGGCCCCCTCCACCAGTGCCATTCCTCTGAAGCACAGGGGTGGGGTCACGCAGCTTTGGGTTGCTTCACAAAAGAAAAAAAAATGTTTAAAAATTTCAAGATATCTAAAATTCTAGAAACAACTGAATGAATATCTGAATGTGTTTTTTTTTTTATTAAAACTAAATCTAAAGAATTAGTCGGTCTCATCAAAGTCTTGTATCCAAAGAAGTCTGAAAAACTAAAAGAACTGTAAATAAACGTGCCTAAAGAAAGAAATATAGATATTTTTCACCAAAAACAGCCACCACTTATACAAATGTGTCAGCAGTTCAAAGCAGTTGGAACCAGTTAAATTCCTGTTGATTCCAGTGATTTGGGAGGAAAGATGAGGGATGGAAGTCAAAATGCTCTGACAGTATGATTGTTAGCAGAATGACAGAAGCTTTTGTTCAGCTGTGGGCTGACTTCAGACAAGTCTGCATAGCTGCAGCTGCTGGTGGAATGAGAAAACCCATGTGAGAGAAGGAGCTGGCCCGAGCRGACTCATTTTAATTCACAAAACTAAACAGACGAACATTTGCTGTGCTCAGAAAAGACACCAGGACCAGAAACAGAAAGCATGCAGATGTGTCTTTAAAGCATGCCGTGTTGTTCCCCAGCAGCAGCAGCAGCAGCAGCAGCAGAGAGGCAGGGAAGCAGCTCTTACCTGAACTCCTCTGACTGCTGGGCGAGGAGCTGCTGAGCAGCTGCCAGAGCTGCCAGACTCTGAGCCAAGCTATGCTGCGAAGTGTCAAACCCTGAACCCCCAGGCTGGGGTTCAGCCGAGGGCTGAGGGACCCCGTGTCCCAGCCCCTGAGCCTCCAGCGGGGGTAAAGGAGGCTGGAAGGCAGGTGAAGTGTGCTGCTTTCTACCTAAGGTGCTACTGCCTCTACGGAGGGTGTGGTCCGAGTGCTTGTTAGAGGTGCTACACGGGGACAGCAGGGGGGGAGCGTGAAGGAGAAAAACAGAAAACATTTAACTCTAAGTCAAGAAATTAGAGCAGAATTACCCAGAGGAACCACAGGCGTACTGTACATCAAAACATACTGTTACACTGATTATTAAAGTTAATATTTATACTTTCAATAAAAGATGGGAATAAAAGCAAAAGAGTTTGAAAAGGAGAAGCAAAGTGGTGGGAGCAAAACATCCTCCAGAGACATGCAAAGATTACTTGTCTTTGCGCGTGGCGTCGGTCTCTGGTCCCACCATGCTGCCGGGCCTCTTCCTCTCTAYGGTGCTGCAGTCAGAATCCACTGGGTTGTTGTGGCTGGAAGCAGGTGTGGGCATCACAAACATGCCCGACACATTGAACTCTACATCTGCAGGAGGGAAGGGTCACAGAWGGTTACACAGCCTGCTCTTCAGAGGTAATCTATCTGCACTGAGGTGTTACAGCGTGGGACACCRGTGGGTTCATAAAGCAAAGGTGGCTTCTTTTATTGTTTATTTTTTTTACAGCTTTGCAAACAGACAGTTTACAAAGTACAAGCTTTTTAAGTTTCACTTGTGACACGATGGAGGGCATTAACCAAGATCACGTGGGTGTGGCTTCGTGGTTTCTTCATAATCCAAATATAACAAACGATCACAAACTCATGAATACCATGTACTCTTTCATACAGCTTTACTGCTGAGCTTTGCTTACCAGCATATTTGAAGAAATGTCCAAAAGTTTCGTTATTTTTAGCCATAAAACAGACATTTTTAGCTGATTCATCCAAAAAATATGAAAATAGTCTTATTAATTACAGAGAATCATTCTTGTTTTTGAAGTCATTTTGTTTCTCAATTAAAGAGTTTTCTGACATTCAGTTGTTAAAGGAGACGTTTCTTGGATGAAAACCAAAGTGTCTTTAAAAAACAGACAAGTCCAGTTGCCTAAAAACAACAAGACAATCTCTGATTAACACCATTTACAAAAGATCACACTGTTTTTAGTGTAGAAGTGTACTGAATTTTATAAAAACAATATAGAAACAGTGTTTGTCACACAATAGCCGTGTTTCCATCCAATTTTAATTCCAATTTTGAGCGAATTTTAATAATTACGCAAAAAAGGAAAAAAATTAAGAAATGCGAATCAGACGGAGTTTCCATCAACTGGCTTGAAGCGAATCAATTACGTCAGACGCATGTGCGTAGTAAACAGGAAGTAACCGACGCTAAACTCGCAGGGTCCACACATCTCAAGGTAATGGGGAGAAGTTATCAGGAACGCGTTGCTACGATCAGGAAAGTTGTAATTATTCTGTCATCAACTAGCTCTGGCGATGTTACTGCTGTCTGGAGACGTAGAGAAAGAAATGCAATTTTCTTCACGTTACGGGATTGAAGAAATTTATAGTTATTACAGATTAGTACTGATGTTAAAAGCACAACACTATATTTTTAGGTTTTCCATTTCATAATGTTTAATCTATAATGTGTTGATTGATATAGATTAGTTACATGCCCGAAATATCTATAACAACACATATTTATCCGTTATGAAAACATTAGGGGAGAATTGTGTGTGAATGCCCGTGATTCAGCCGTAGGTCAGTAGGGGGCGAACTCGGGCATTGAAGACTCTGTATAAATGGATCGACTTCCTGGTTGGCCGGCAGTGTGTGGTTTCCTGTCAGCTCCGAATGACAATAAACCCCACTCCAGAATTCTGGTTTTGTATGATTTTGTATGGTTTTATCCCGTCTAACAATCATATTATTTAACATTGGTGGTTTTCTAGCGACTTCAGTCTTTGAACACGAATATTTCTTACAGGATTACTGAGAAGACGCAAACAGYGGGAGGAGGGTTCTGCTGCCAGTCGCGGCTGCAGCCGGCCCGAAACTGGTACCGGTACTGAGGAACAGCTGATCAGCTACGYGAGGTAAATGTTCGCTACGTCACAACTTATTCGGCAAAAGTGTTTCCATCTCTCCTTTTGCGCATTAAGTGTTTTTCGAAAAACCCTAAAACCACCTCAAGCGAGCGTAAAAACTTTTACGCGAATCAGAGGAAGTTTTTTTCAAATCATCCAYTCACCTTTTCTGATGCGATACTCCAAAATGCGCATCAAGAAACGTTGATGGAAACACAACTAGTGTTAATACTTGGGCAGGCAGCCCAGAAATATTTGGTGACTGATTTAAATTCAAAATAGAAACATGCTCTCTTATGGTCGAGTCAGCCCGTCTCCATCTATAAGAGCTGAATGACATTAAACCAGCTCCTATCATAGGAAGGAAGTCTCTCAGTTTCCATCGGAGTGCCTTTGTTACACTAGAACATTTTTCAGGCTGATTTATTTTCTCCATGAAGCAAAGATGTATCAGCTCCAGACTGATACAGATATTTTACTTTTTGAAAGTACTGATAAACTGAATTTATAAAAATACTTTATTGGTTGAAAATGTTTGTTCCCTAAAAGGTTTATATTGTCATAAAGCTTTCATTACTCAACACATCACAGGATAAATACATCTGACTTGACCACAACAGAGACTTGAGCTGACAGCTCGATTACAGCTGACTTTCTGACCTAACGGTCAGTTAGTATCAGCCGTCCTCAGCATGAGTCCTTCAACAGGACTGCTGATGACAAGTAAARGAGGCGAGGTCAGAGTGAGAACAGCAGCTGGAGAGAACAGCCAGAACCTACCCTCAGGAAAGAACCAGTCAGCGTGCTGGATGATGGGCTCAATAATGGACACCACGTGCACCGACGTGGCTGCAGCCATCTCAGCCAGACTCCTGGGTGTGCACAAAAACACTAAATTAGATGCTTCCTTACATAACGAGGCACTGACTGAAAYAAATAAACTACTGTACACAGAAATGTACTTGTCTCGGTCTGAAAGATYGATTTAAACCAATTGAACTTCCTCTCTTACCCCTCAGTCTTGGCCCACAACAGGTTGGGTCCCAGCACGATAGCGACATTGCTCGGGGTCATTTTGTTCACCTCACTCTCCTGAGCTAGCCTGGTTAAAAACTTCACCAGATACCTGCAAGGACATTTTCAAAATGCACAGGTCTAAAAATAAGAAAAAAAGCAACTGAGTCAAATGCATTTTCTGATGCAAGTTTAAGCAACAAACCTCAGATTGTTTTTGTTGTTCTTTGGTAGTTGATCACACACGAGCCACAGAGCCTGCAGCCGTTTGTCCGGGTCTGACACGCTGAAACGTGTTAATGGATCGTGTTATTTTTCTGTGTAACGACAGATCAGTACACATTCTGAATTCAAATCTCCCCAGCCTTGCCTGGACGCCTGGATCCATTCGTCATAAAGCTGGTAGGTCATGAGAGGTTCGGGGAGTTCCCTCAGGTAGGATTTCAGAGCTCCTAAAACCAAATTAAACCAATTAAAAGACACTTTAAAAAGGCAACGGTTTGACACCAGAACTTTGCTTTTGAGTGTCAGCTTGAGTTTTACACCTGGAAAATAAACAAGCGCTCCAGTTTAGGACCTACCAGCCACAGCGTGAGGGTCCGAGTAGAACTCCTCCAGTTGTGAAGTGGAACAATCCAGCGCCGCCTTTAGCTTCTTTAGCTTAGAAGCCCCAGCTGCGATTCTGAACAGACCCTAAAAACACACACAAATAAAGCCACAGAAACATTAGCAGCAGTGAATAAAGACACACACAAGCGTGAGATGTGCACACACAACCAGTCACTGCATTACAACTAGACTCTGTATAAATCCACTCTGCCAGCTGCACATAATGAAACCTTTAAGCAGCCAAACAAACACACCCTCCAGTGACAGCGTAGTGAGCTGTTTACTTTGACATAAACACAGTCTGTCTTCACCGCTATAATGACAGAAGCTGAGAGACTGGACTCAGCAGGGAAGGAAGAGAAGAACAAGTGATTTGCTTTGAGGCCAGTGCCTACCCTTCATTTTATTTATTTATGAAATGAACACAAAGAGATGAGATTTATAGACAGGAGCCGAGTGCATTCTATTGTATTCTAAATGTGACTCGGGGAGGAGACATCCCAAACATTTCATAAATCTTTACTGCAGCATAAAGACCGATCCTGCTTCTAGAAAACAGGGAAAAAAAGTCTTAAGTTTGTTAACTCATCTATGTGAGCAAAATGTTTACAGTTTGGCTTCCAATGTCGGCGAACAGTCGCTAAGTAAAGACAAAGCTCTGTGAAACTTCTGATTACACACGCAAAGGCTTACATTTTATACCAAAACAAAATGCAAGAAGTCATATACTCCAGGGAGAAACGTGAGCATACCTAGACTCCATCTAATTACACAAATCAGCTTTCCCACAGAAAAATGGCAACAAAACACTTATTTCTTCCAGTTATCAGGCGTTTTGATGCTCCACATAAGTCACGCTGATGACAGTAAACACTGAGCTGTTTATTTTGGCACCAGTCTTAAGCAAACAAAAACAGAAAGAACCCAAAATATTATTCCACTGAATCTGTGCAAGGTGCAACGAATTCTCAAGACTATCAAGGCATTCGGGAGCAAGAATACAAAACCCAGTGTCAAAAAGAYTGGGTCTTAGTCCAACAAGATAATGACCCAAAACACACAACTAAAAACACTTAATGTCTGAGAACAAAACACTGGTCTGCTGGGCCTGGATCTAAATCCTACTGAGCACCTGTGGAAGGAGCTGAAACCTGCAGTGTGGAGAAGAAACCCGTCAAACCTGAGACAGCTGGAGCAGTTTTCTCATGASGAGGGAGTCAAAAATATCCATGGACCGGTGCAGAAGTCTCAGAGTTACAGAAACTATGTCAAAAGAAAATATTACACAGTACAGCAAAATATTAAAGGTGTCATGATTTATGTCAAGGCCACTTTCATGAGTTTTAGTTTTTTTTAATAGATCCATTGAACAAAACCTTAAAAGCAACAACTTATTTTGACTCATTGTTCAGTATAAATTTTTTAATTAATTTTGTTCGTTTCAAGTTATGTCCATAAACTTTGTGGGCTTGTTGTTATTTAACAAAAAGATAAAAACAAGTATTTTACTAGTGATCTTGTGTCACATAYTGTGTCAAAATATTCCTACAGGAATATGTATGTTTCGATTTATCTTAATTATCAGAATAAATGTTAAATGAACTGTATTTATAGCATCTTTCTATCCAACCAGGATATTCAAAGCACTTTATAAGTCTTCATTTACCCCCAGCACTGTACTACAGTACAWCTCTCTACAAAGCTAATCTAGATCTATCGTTCTACGGGGACTGGTCAGTGCTTAAATCACATTCATACACTGATGGGACACACATCAGAGGGCTCAATGTCTTGCCCAAGAACACTTCGACATATGACTGTATAGCGAGGGAATTGAACAGTCAACTCTCTCATTGGAGGACGACTCCCTCAACCACTCAGCCACAGTTGTCCCATGACGTGTGCATTTTATTCATTTTTCACATATACATTTTGCTACTTAGTCAATGAGTATGTATGTACATGTACGGCTGATGGCAGATTTTCATTAGTGGCAAATAATGTCAGATTAATCAGTTTACCTCTAACAGAGCTACATTAATTAAAGAGTTTGTATACAGAGCAGGAGGGAGAACTCACTGAACAAAACCATCTGATTTTGAGTCACCTCCGTCTCTCCTTCAAGTTTGATCAACGTTTTCCCTCTCATGGCTTAAAAAGGTTCAAACATAATTTTCTCAGCTTTGAAGTCAAGAAACCACTAAATGACATCAGGATCTGTTCTGTTCTGAAAGAGATTAATCATGATGATAAAACAAGAGTGTGAACGTTGTGATGAGAGAAACAATCACAAAATGTACAAATCTTATCTAAACCAAAAGCCAGATAACCACAAAACAGAACTACCACAAAAAGACAAATGGATACAAAGAAGCTAAGATGAGACTTGGACGTGTCTCTGACTGACTGAAATGATCACCGGTTCTTTTAAACATTAACACAAAACATTTGTGTGTGTTGYGAGTTTTAACTAATCCACTGCGAAGAAAACCTGAAGTACAAGTATACATGAGTAGGCAACAACCCAAAAATAGGCAGCAAAACATACAAAAACAGAGCAGGACTAAACACAGTAAAACACCTGACATTTTATTCTTGAAGGAATAGATGGAACTAAAGCATCACTGGTAGAACTAAAAATGTTATTGAAAATGTTTTAGAAATCCAAAGCATAATTTAACACAGCAACTCTAGGGCCCTATAAAATCTATTTTATTTTTTCCCGAATTCCATTTTATTTTTTCCATTTTTATTTTTCTAAACTCCAYTTTTTCCATTTTTCCCTGAATTCCACATTTTCATTGTAACCATTATATTTACCTAAA